CACCCACCATTCAGGCGTGAAGTGCTTCCTTTGTTTGGTGAGGGCCTCTTAGAGCATCCTTGCCCCACAGTAGGGGTCTGTTGTGGGCAAGTCACAGGGTCTTGAGTGTGGGATCTGTCTACATGGTGCATGAGCACTGTTGAGTAGAAACGATCTCAAGGCAGAGGGGTGTCACCAAGACTTTTCAGGAGGAGCTATTATTATAGACTGGAAAGTAGGGTCCATGCTTCCTGGGAAAAATGCTCAGTTTGCAAAGATTCAACCTGTCTGGGTCTATTTCAAGGCATCCTCGTGGCGTAGTTGTTAGAGGATTAGGCTGTTAACCAGAAGGCCTGTGGTTCGCCCTGCAGGAGAAAGATTTGGCAGTCTGCCTTCATAAAGATTTATAGCCTTGGAAACCCTACGGGGCTGTTCTTCTCTGTCCTCTAGGGTTGCTATGAGTTAGAATTAACTCCATGGCAATGGGTTTGGTTTTTGGTTTTGGGGTCTGTTTCAGGGAGACATGCCATGGTAGGCAGGAGGGTATAACTAGTGACTGATTTTGCCCCACTACTCCAGTCCCATGTACCCACTGAGAAAAGTCATCTTTATCCCATAAGGACTCCCTGGGTGGTACAAAGGAACTCTGGTGGGAAAGTGGTTAAAGCATCTGGCTGCCAACCAGAAGGTCAGAGCTTTGAACCCACTAGACTCTGTACATCTGACAAGATGGGAAAGATGAGGCAGTCGGTGTCTGTAAAAATTTATAGCCTTGGAAATCCTGCGGGGCAGTTCTACTCTGTCCTGTAGGGCTCCTATGAGTTGGAATCAACTCGATGGCAGTGGATTTGGTTAGGGTAGGTGGTACAAACAGTAAGGACTTGACTACTAGCTGAAAGTTGGTGGTTTGAACCCACTCAGATAGGTCTGGCACTCGGCTTCCCGGAGGTCATAGCCTTGAAAACGCTACAGAGCAGTTCTACTCTGCACACATGGAGTCACCATGAATCAGGATCAACTCCAAGTCAAATAACAATCCAGTATTACCTCCTCCTGAGAGCATGGGGAGCCCAGGGCTCAGTGTTTACCTGCTGACACTTCTATTGCTCCACAGGGACAACAGTGGCAGCTGCTCTGCCCACACAGCTAGATACTGATGCAGGGACCTGGAAGATGACAGAAGACTCG